GCGGAGCGGCAGGCCGCGGGCGTCAGCGACCTCGCGCTCTTCCGCGCCGTCCGCCCGAGCCGCGAGTGGCGGCGGACCTGGATCCTGGAGCAGCGCGCGGCGGGCGACCGGCGGGAGACCGCGCTCGTCGCCATCTTGGGCGGGACGTGCCGCCTCGCGCCGCAGACGCGGCTCGTCCGGTGGGCGGCCCGGGGCCGCGAGCGGCCGGGCTACTGCGACCTCTGCGGGCTCTACGTCCGCGGGACGGCCGCGGACATGGCCCACGTCTGCCTCGAGTGCCCGGCGTCGCGCGTGACGCGGCTCGGCCTGGATGCTCCCCGACGCGCGTGGTTCGCGAGCGTCGAGAACGCCTACGGCCGCCAGGGCCGCGAGGCGGCGGCGCGCTGGTGGCGCGGCGCGCGGGCGCCGGCGCTCTCGTCGTGCTCCGACGTCGGCTTCGCCGCTTTTTTGGCCGCGTCGGGCGCACCGCCGCTCCCGCGCGGCGGCCTCGCGGAGCTGCGCGACGATCTTGCTCGCGCCTTCGCGTCGACGTTCGGCGAGTTCTTCGTCGCCCACGCCAGCGAGATTGCGGCGCTTCCTCCGCGGCGCTCGACCTGATTTTGTTCATATTCCTCTCTTCCTCAGCGGCGTCCTCCTCTTCTACATCGACGCGGCCGCGGGCCGCGGTTCTTCGATCTGGACGCTTCCTTTTGTTTCTCCCGCTCGCTGACCACGAGCATCCTCTTCGGCGGTGCCCTCGGCTAGCCATTCGTGGTCCTGAGGTTGAATCGGCCTGGTCGAGCCGGAGTTCCTGTCCCCGTGCACGGTGGTGGTGGTCCTTCTCAACCTCCCCCGGTCCACGGAGAGACCGACCTTGAGTGGCCCCTGGAGCCCACGCAGGAGCTACCGCCCCGCGCCTGCTCGGTCTGGTTCCCTCCGCGGGGGTCCCTCAGTGGGCCTGCCTCCCCTCCCCGGACGGACGCAGTCGGGCGCGCACCCCCTTCAATAACTTGGTCAACACGAGTGCATCGTGCAGCGATCCTGAACTCGGCGCAATGATGTCTCTCGCGCGGTTCGACGCGTCGACAGCGCTCTCGTGAGACTCGTATGGACCGCGGCACCGGCGTCGACGGCGCCCTCTCGCAGCTCCAGCACGCCTGGGCGACCTTTGTGAACTCGTCGTTCGTCGAGGAGACGTTGAAGGTCGCGGCCGACGCCAGCGCCGCCGCCGCGGAGAAGCTCGCGCCATGAGGCGCGGCTTCCTCGCGCCGTCGCTCGAGGACACGTGCGCCGGCGTCGAGCGGCACGGCGCCTGCGACGGCGCGCTCGCGGCCGCCGCCGAGGAGGGCCGCCTCGCGCTGCTGCTCTGGCTGCTCGAGACGCGGCGGTTCGGCCGGCGGCAGCTCGACGAGGCGCTGCTCGCGGCCGCGCGGCACCGCGCGGGCGACCACCGCTTCGTCGACCTCCTGCTGTCCCGCGGCGCGTCCGCGGCCGCGCGCGACGCCGCGGGCGACGGCGCCGCGCACCTCTGCGCGGCGTCGCGCGACCCCGCGGCGACGCGGACGCTCAGGTCGCTGCTGCACCACCCGTCGCTCGCGCGGGACGCGCTCGCCGTGCCCAACGCCGAGGGCCGCACGCCGGCCGCGGTCGCCGCGCGCCTCGAGGCCTTCGAAGCCGCCGAGGTCGCCGCGGCGTGGCTCGAGCGCTGGGGCGCGGCCCGCGGCCGCGCGCTGTCCTTCGGCGCGCCGCACGCCGCCTGGGCGCTCGGCGCCGTCCTCGAGCGGACCGCGGCGGCCCCGCTCCCCTGGCTCCTGCTCGCCCTCGGCCTCGCGCTCCTCGCGGCGCCCGCGGGGACCGCGGGCGCGGCGGTGGCGAGCCCGAAGTCGCTCCTCGGCAGCGGCGTCGCGTCGGCCTTCTGCGTCGCCTGCGCGCTCACGACGCGCGCCGCGCTCGGAGATCTCGACGCCGACGTGCTGACGCGCGCGCACGCGGCGGTCTACGCGGCCTACGCGCTCCTCTACGTGCGCTGCCTGGCGCCGGTGCCGCGCCGCCGGAGCGCGCCGGGCCTCGCGGCCGCCGCGCGGTCGGCGCCGCGGCTCGTCGACGAGCTGTGCTTCTCGTGCCGCGCGCCGTACCGCGACGGCGCGCACTGCCTCCGCTGCGGCACCTGCGTCGCGCGCCGGGACCACCACTGCGCGCTGCTGGACCGGTGCGTCCACGCGGGCAACGTCAACGCGTTCCGGCTCCTCCTGTTCCTCACGCTCCTCGCCGGCGCGAGCTGCCTGCGCGTCGGCGTCTGGTCCTTCGCCGGCGTCGCCGACGAGCGGGACGCCTGGCCTCCGGACCCGCGCGTCTGGACCCGGGGGCTCCTGGGCCCGCGGGGCTGCACCTGCCTCCTCCTGCTCGTCCTCGTGCCCCTGGGCCTCGTCGCCGTCGCCTACGAGTGCGCGCGCCACGCGCTCCGCGCCGCGGGCGTCGAGCGGCGGTTCCTCGACGACGGCGCGGGGAAGAAGGATGATTAGCATGTGATTCTCGGTGTGGTTCTCGAGCCGCGGGTCTACGCGGCCTCGTTCGGGGGGGCGGCGCCGGCGATCCGCTCCTTGAGCGGCACCCACGTCGTGAGGAGCTTCTTGTACTTGCGCTCCGCGGAGCGGAGGCGGTCGAGCCGCTCGGCGACGCTTTCCTGGTAGCGGACGAAGGCCACGAGGCCGAGGAGCCCGAGGTACGCGCCCGCGAGGAGGACGCCGACGAGCGGCGCGCCGAGGTAGAGCAGGCGCCAGAGCGCGGCCCGCTGCGACGCGAGCGCGTCCGCGAGGATCGCGGCCTGGAGGTCGTCCATCATGGCCTGGAGCGAGTCGATGCGGCAGCTCTGCAGCGCGAAGTACTCCGCGTGGTCCGCGTCGTCCTCGTCGTCGGCGAGGACGCGGCCGCGGAGCGCGGCGGCCTCGTGGACGCAGTCGAGGGCCGCGTGGCGCGCGTAGGCGGAGACGAAGCGCTTCGGCGCGAGCGCGAGGAAGCTCTGGAGGGACGACTCCTGGAGCGTGACGACGCGGGCGACGCGGGCCCGCGTCTCGCCCGAGACGGCGGCGCCCGCGCGGCCCCGCCGCTTCCGGGCGTGGGCCGCGAGGTCCGCGGCGACGAGGCCCCGCTCGACGGCCGCGTGCTCCTTGTAGGCGGCGAGGGCCACGGACGCGACGAGGCTCGGCGCGAGGTGCTGCGCGCGCAGGCCCGCGCGCATCAGCTCGACCGCGGCGTCGCGCGCGACGGTCAGCAGGTTCTCGTTGAGCGCGCTGTAGGCGTCGAAGGCGACGAGGTGGTCGTCCGGCGCCGCGGCGTCGCCCGCGCGCCGCTCCGTCGCCTCGCGGTGGCGGAGGAGCGCCGCGAGGCGCGCGCAGGCCTTGCGGCGGCAGCCGTCGCGCGCGAGGGACACGAACGGCGCGGGCGCGGACCAGCGCGCGGCCCCGCCGACGTAGAGGCCCCGCCGCGCGCCGACGTCGACGGCGCCGTAGAGCAGGCTCGCCGTCCGCGAGGGCGACAGGTCCGTGTCGCCCGAGCGCGCGCCGGCGACGCGCACCGTGTCCGCGTGGCGCAGCGCCGCGCCGACGGCGAGGTCCAGCGCCGCGTCCGTGCGCAGGAACTGCTGGCCGAGCTCGAGCGCGTTCGCGCGCCCGCCCGACGCGACGTACGTCGACAGCAGGCCGCGCTCCCGCTGCGTCTCGTGGACCGCGCGGCAGACGCGGAGCACGATCGCCGTCTCCAGCGCGCGCCGCACGGCCGCGGAGCGGCGGACGTGCTCGTAGACGAGCCAGCCGACCTCCGCGGCCGTCGTGAGCACGACGAGCGCCACGAGCGCGAGGAGCAGCGCGGGCACGCGCGCGGCGCCGCGGCGCTGGGCCGTCGACAGCTCCGCGTCGAGGGACGCGTAGAGCTTGTCCTCCTCCTCCGTGCCGAGCGAGGAGAAGCGGCCGGAGGACGACGAGGGGGCCTCCGCGCCGAGCGACGAGCCCTCGGTGCTCTCCGACGGCGTCTCCTCGAAGGGCTCGGCGCCCTTGGACTCCTCGACGCCGACGCCGAATTCGCCGCCCTTGGACTCCTCGACGCCGACGCCGTCGTCCGGCGAGACCTGTGTGGAAATCAACCACTGGTTTGGGGGGTCCCCACCAAACTTCAGAACTCTCTATCTCGATCAAATCGAAGTCGATTCGGCTGATTTTTGGACGAATCGATTGCTCTCATCGAGTTCTCGAAGCACGGCCGAAGATTCCGGCGCAATCCGTTCAATTACGCGCACATTGAAGTCGGGTTGAATATTTGATTTCCACACAGGGCGACACGTACGAGACGCCCGCGGGCTCCGCGGGGACGACCTCCGGGACGACGTCGAGCTTCTCCGAGTCCGCGGGCTTGGCCGCGGGCTCGGCCTTGGCCTTGGGGGCGCGGGGCCTCGCCGCCGACGCCTTGCGGGCCTTCGGCGGCGGCGGCTTGCCGCGCGCCCGCTGCCGTTCGGCCTCGGCCTTGGCCTTGACCCGCTCGCGCTCCGCGAAGGCCGCGTAGTGCGCGCGGCGCGCGCGGCGTTCGCGGAGCGCCCGCCGCGCGACCCACTCCGCGACGGCGTCGTGGAACGCGGCCGAAGCGAAGGCGCCGATCGCTCGCGGCGCCGCGACCGCGGCGCGTGTCGCGACGACCGCGGCGCGGGTCGCGACGCGGAGCGCGGCGAGGACCAGGTCCGAGAGCATCACCGCCGTGAAGAGAAGCATGCAGATGGCGACGCGTTTGCCGACGGGGAGCTCGCAGAACGTGGACGACGCCAGCCATTGGCCCTCGCACAACGTTTCGACGCGCATAATCGAGCCGGGGGATGAACCCACGATCGCCGCCCCGACCATGACGGCGATGACGCGGAAGAGAGAGGTGGGCGCTCTTTCGTCGCTCGGAGCGTCGCTTGGAGCGGACGCCGCGGCGGCCATGACGACGACGCGGCGAGAGGCCTGCAATTGCGTTTTGCTGGTTCCTTTTGGCCACGAGCTATCGTTGTGTTTTGCACAGGTAAAGTTGAAGTCGCGTCGCGAGCGGTCGAGCCCGTCGCCTCCGAGCCCCCTTCGCAAGCCTCCTGGAGGCTCGTGGAGCCTCCCTACGTGGATTCCGCCGGCTGGCGCCGCAGCGCCGCGCCGTCCGGGACGCCGACGCGGCCGCGCGTCCGCCGTCCGCCGTCCGAGCCTTCGGCGCGCCCGGAGTCTGGAGGGGTCGCCTTTATATGGACCGGCGCGACGCCGGCCGGGGCGGTCCCGGAGGTTGATGCGAAGGTGTGGTCGCGCGTTGAGGGCCGGGCCCGGTCGTGGGCCCCGCCGCGGCGCGCGCGGCGCGGTGGCGGACGCCGCGCGCCGGCGCGCCGGAGGTCGTGTTTTTTCGGTGCGCTGGCGTCCCTGGGTCTTGGGGACGTTTGCGCCCGTTTCTAGAGCGCGGCGATGGCGCCCTTGACGTAGTTCCGGACGTCCGCGTCCGTGTCGTTCGCCAGGAGCTCGTTGAGCACGGGCTTGATGAAGTTCGCGACGAGGCGGTCGTTCGCGTGGAGGCTCACGGTCTCGAGCGCCTTGACGGCCGTGAAGCGCACGTTGGGCACGTCGTCGCGGGCGCCGTCGACGAGGAAGAGGACGATGGTCTCCATGTGCTCGGCCGCGACGTCATCGTGCGCGAGTCGCTCGAACGCCGCGACGATGGTGATGCGGTAGAGGTAGTAGGACATGGTGAGGTAGAGCTCCGAGAGGCGCTTGCCGATCTTCTCCATGAGCCAGTCGCCGTCGAACAAGGCCTCGTCCGTGGGCAACCCCGTGGCGCCGTCGGGCTTCTTGAGCGCGCGGAGCTCGCCGAGCACGGCGACGGCCGACGTCCGCACCTCGGAGATGCGGTCCTGGAAGGATCGCACGAAGCCCTCGAGGAGCTGGGCCTCGAAGGCGTCCTTGCCCCGGGCCAGGGCCACCGCGGGCAGCGCGCCGTTGAGCGCCGCGCGGACCCGCCAGTTGTCGTGCGCCGTCGACTCGACGAGCGCCGCGACGCGCGCGGCGCTGTCGCCCTCGAGCAGCGGCACGGCCACGGCGAGCTCGCGCAGCGTCGCCAGGAGCACGTCGACGTGCTCGTCGGCGAAGAGCTTGGCCTCGACGACGTCGAAGAGCGCGCGCTGCGCCTTGGCGAGCTCCGCGGCGTCGGCCGGCGGCGGCGGGCCCGCGGCGCCCGGCGCCTGCAGCGGCGTCAGCGTCGCCAGGAGCTTCGTCAGCGCGCAGGCCGCGGCCATGCGCACCTTGAGCTCCGGCGCGTCCGCGCCGCGGCCCGCGGCCTCGACGCAGTCGCCGTGCCGCGCGAAGCACGCCGACCACGTCGCCGCGACGTCGTTCGTCGACTTGTGCGCCGCGACGCGCACCTCGACCTCGGCGTCGTCGAAGAGCGCCGCGAACATGCTGAGCAGGCCCAGGCCCAGGTCGAGCTTCGAGCAGCCGCCGACGCCGTCGTCGGGCACGGACCTGCGTGGGAAACAACGACTGGTTCGGGACGTCCCCACCAAACTTTGAAATTCTCTAGCTCGGTCAAATCGAAGTCGATTCGGCTGATTTTTGGGCGAATCGATCGCTCTCGTCGAGTTCTCGATGCACGGCAGAAGACATCGTGTCGAAACGGTCGAAACGCTCACATTGAAGTCGAGTTGAAGATTTGATGTCCACACAGGCACGGACCGTCGCGCGTACGCGACGTAGCCCGCGAACGACTTGGCCAGGGACTCGCGCACGCGCCAGGACGCGTCGACGTGGGCCGTGGCCACGACGTGGACGCCGGGCTCGTAGGCGTACCAGGGCTCCTCCGCGGGCTCCGCGTCGTCGCCGTCGCCCGCGGCGGCCGCCGCGCGCGCGTCGTCCGCGAGGCGCGCGCGCGCGCCCGACGCCCACTTGGCCGCCGCCGCCGCGCAGCGCTCGCTCCCGAGCACGCGCCCGAGCTGCTCCACGGCGATGAGGCGCACCGCGTCGTGCTCGTCGCCGATGAGCTTCATCGCCGTCGCGCTCAGGTCGCCGTCGAAGGCCTCGGCGCCCGCGACGGCCTCGCACATGGCCGCGAGCTCGTGGGCCGCGGCCCGGCGCACGATGGGCGCGTCGTCGGCGCAGATGCGCGCGTAGACGTCCCGGAGCTCCTTCTTCACGGCCTCGTCGACGCCGCAGCGCTCGAGGAGCGCCGCGGCCGCCGCGCAGACGGACGCCGCGGACACCTTGGCGCCGAAGCCCGTCGCGTCGGCGCCGGGGTCCGCCATGCCGCTCACGATCTTCACGGCCGACGCGCCGACCTCCGCGCCGCCGGACGACACGTCGACCGACGCGAAGACCGACGACAGCGACGCGACGGCCTTGGCGCGGACCATGGTCTCCTCGATGCGCGCGAGGCTCTGCAGCAGGTCGAAGAGCAGGGCGCCGTGCTGGTCCCCGCCGAGCAGGGCGCTGAAGTCCCCGAGGAGCTGCGCGGGGGCGGGGGGGGGTCGACGGGGGGTTCGAACGGAACGCGGGGGCGGCGCGCGCGCCGCGCGGCGTGCCTCGGCGTCCTCGGACGCGGGACGCGCGCCATGGCGATGCGGTACTGGACCTCGTCCTCCTCCTCCTGGCGGACGTGCTCCGCGAGGATGCTCAGGATCTTGGTCCGCGTGACCTCGACGCCGCAGGCCGTCGCGAGCGCCGGCAGGCCCTTGACGGCCCGCAGCCGCGCGGACCGATCGTTGGAGCCGAGCTCCTGCTCGAGGAGCGCGATCGGGTCAAAGTCCAGGTCCGCCACGGTCTGCGCCATGGTCGGCGGGTGGACCGGCGGGCCGCACAAAGGCCACCACCGCCGCGCTTCCGACGACGGGCCCGAGCCGAGGACGCGCCGCGCGGGCCACCGGACGACGCCCGCGGTACCCGGCGCACCAGAGGGGCACGACGGCGGCTCCGGGCGAAGTCGGCGCCCGCCCCCGACAGTGCCGGCTGTGGCGGTCGCTGTCCGTACAGCCGCAAAAGGCCGAGGCAAAGCTCCAGTTGCACGCCGATGATATGCATGGCACCGTCGGCCTATTGCGCGGCGCGCCGCACCGACGAGCGGCCGCTGGACAAGCCTCCCTTCGACCATCGGCGCGAGCTTCCGCGATGCTCCCGAAGTCCGAGGGGATCGGGGCGCTGCTGCGGAGGGCCGATCGAATCGAGTCGCGCCAGCGAAGGTGCCGATGGCGTCGCGCAGCCTACCCACGGCAGACGCAGCACCTCGCGGATGGGGCGGGCTGCTCGCGCGGTGCGTTCGTTCGTGGACCCGGCGCCGAGCAGCACCGGCGGGCGAGGCCTCCGGCGACGCGGGCTGTGTGGAGGGCCAGGCTTGCTCTCCCACAGCGTCGCCGCAAGCGCACGCCTCGCGCCTTGCGACGACCGCGCATCGCGCGGCGCGGCGGATCGCCTCCTCGGCACCGCGGCGTCGCCCGCTCTTCGCGGAGCGCACCGCGCCGCAGGCCTCGCCGCGAGTTTCCGCCGCCGCGCGCGTCGCCGCGCGGCGCGGCTCGCCGCCTCGCCGTCGCGCGGCTCGCCGCCGACGCGCGGCGCGCCTCGCGGTGCTCGCGCCGAATCCATGACGAACACGTTCGTCGGCGTCGGCGCCTACCCGCGGAGCTGCGGCCACTGCGCCGGCGGCGACCTCTGCGTCGACGTGCACGCCGGCGACCTCGTCTGCCGCGGGTGCGGTTCCGTGCTCCGGGACAAGCTCGCCGTCGACGACCGCATGCTCCAGCTCGGCGAGTGCGGCGGCGACGTGACGCGCTTCCGGGGCCGCGCCGGCGGCCGGGCCCAGGGCGACTTCGACCTCGCGGCCGCGGAGCGCGGCGCCGCGCGGCCACCGGCCGCGGCCGCGGCCGCGGCCGCGCCCGCGGCCGCCTTCGGCGCCGCCGGGCCCGCGTCCCTCTTCCTCGCCGACGCCGCGGCCGCGGCGCCCGTGCGCGCGGCGACGCTCGCGGCGCGCGCGGAGCGGTACGAGCGGAAGCGGCGCGCGGCGCTCGACGCGCTCGAGCAGCTCGCCGCGCGGCTCGTGCTGCCGCGGCACGTCCTCGACGGCGCGCGCGGGGCGCTCTGCGCCGCGCCGCCGGCGGCGCTCGACGCGGCCTTCGCCGCCGCGCGGCGGAAGACGGGCGGAGCGGCCGCGCGCGAGCGGGGCGCGGCGGACGCGGGCGGCGTCTCGGGCGCCGTCGCCGTCGTCCACGCGGCGCGAAGACTCGGCTTCCCCCTGAGCCTCCGGGAGGTCGCGGCGGCCTGCGCGGACGAGCGCGCGTCCGCGACGTCGACGGGCCGCGCCGTCGCGGCGTTCGAGCGCGCGCTGCGCCGCGACGACGCCGAGCCGGAGGCCCGGCGGCCCCAGAAGCGCGCCAAGCTCCGCGGCGCCGACGGCCCGGGGGCCTTCGTCGCGCGCGCGCGCGCGCGGTTCGGCGCGGACGCGCTCCGGAGCTGCGGCCCGCCGCCGGACGACGCGCTCCGGTGCGGCCAGGTCACGGAGGGCTCCTACTGGGCGCAGCGGAAGGCCCTCGTGGCCTTCCTCGCGACGGGCCGCGACGCGCGGCCCGCGGCCTGCGCGGCGGAGCTCGCGGACCGCCTCGCGGCGACGCTGCCGGCCGCCGTCGCGCTCGCCGCGCGGCCCAAGGTCGCGGCGGCGGCGCTCTACCTCGTCGCCGAGGCCCACGGCCCGGCCGTCGACGACGACGCGCGGAAGACCTTCCTCCTGCCCGCGCTCGCGGCCGCGGCGAGGTGCGGCGCCGCGGACGGCGTCGCGTCGCTCGTCCGCGCGGTGCGCAAGGCCGCCATCGCGCCGCGGTCCCTCGACTTCGACCTCGCCGCCCTCCCGTCGCCCGTCTCCGTCAGCGAGCCCTTCGACGAGCGGCCGCGCGCGCTCGACGACGAGCCCGCGGTCGTCGACTGGACGCCGAGCCTCCTCCGGGAGCTCGAGCTCGAGCCGCCGCCGCTGTAGCTCGCTCCGTAAGGTCGCGGAGGGCGGTGTTCACTCGCGCGGACACGGTCGCACGTCGTTTCCGGGGGGGGGCAGGCGCCACGCCGGGCCTACGGTCCCGGCGGCGTAATTATAAAACCCCCGGCGGCGCCCTGCACCTTTAGCCTATCTCGTCGTGATCGGCGACGAGCAAAAGGCGGCGATTAGAGAGGCATGCCCCGGCGTCCGGCTGACTGCGGGCCGCGCGCAACTTCGAGAGCGGGTGTACGAACGCAGCGGGTTTGCGACGGACGCGGTGCGGACGGCGCTGCTGCGCGATCTGGGTCGATCTCCGGCGGCCGCGTGGCGCCGCGGCCGACGGCATGCCGTCGCGGTCCGCGGCGGCGCCGCGGCGCCGGAGACGCCCGCGGGGCGGCGCGCGGTTGTACTCGACAGACCGCCGCCGCCGCCGCCGCGGCGCGCCGGACCGACGCGCCGCGCTTCGCCCCCCGCGTGCGCGCGCGCGGGCCCGGTCGCGCTTCGACCGCGCGCCGCCGCCGCCGCCGCGCCGCGCGCGACCCCCCCGCCTCCCCAGGTCGACCATGGGCGGCTTCAAGCTCTACCAGGTCATCGGCCGCAAGGCCCCCACGCCCCAGGAGCCCGAGCCGAGCGTCTACCGCATGAAGCTCTTCGCGCCGAACGAGGTCCTCGCGCGGAGCCGCTACTGGTACTACATGCACCAGTACCGCAAGATGAAGAAGACGACGGGCGAGATCCTCGACGTCAACGAGATCCGCGAGAAGAACCCGCGCATCGTGAAGAACTACTACGTCATGCTGCGCTACAACTCGCGGTCGAACACGCACAACATGTACCGCGAATACCGCGATCTCACGCTCACGGGCGCGATCGACCAGCTCTACAGCGAGATGGCCGGCCGCCACCGCGCGCGCCCGCGGTCCATCCAGATCATCCGCACGGGCATCGTCGACCCCAAGGACCTCAAGCGCCCGGCGACGCAGCAGTTCGCGGCCAAGGGCCTCAAGTTCCCGCTCCCGCACCGCATCATGCGCCCGTCGCAGAAGAAGTTCCGCGCGACCTTCGTCGCCAACCGCCCCTGCACGCACTTCCAATAGGCGGCGCGCGCCAACGTCCGCGCTCTCGGTCCCATTCCCGCGCCGGCGCGGCGGGGGCCTCCCGGGCCGCCGCGCGGCGCCCCGCCGTCGTCCTCCTAAGAGCGCACACCTAGCTCGCCCGCGCGCGCGGGGGGGCGACCGCCGCGCGGCGGCGGCGGCGCGCGCCGCCGGGGCGCGTGGGCGGCCGCGGGCGGGTCGTCGCGACGCGAAGTGCGACGCGTCGGCCGAAGATTCGACGGCAACCAGTAAAGTGTGAAGTCACGGTGCCTTTGATGACGTCCGAGTTATTGAATATCAAACACCGAAGACGCGACGTGCGTCGTGCAGATCCTCGTCTCTCGCCCTCACCTCCCGCGCGCCGCACCTCCCGCGCGCCGCTGCCCGCCGGCGCCGGGCCGCAGCGCCGCGGCAGCCTCGCTCTCGGAGCACCCTGCGCCTCTCGCCCCTGTCCCCTCGGCTAATGGGGGGTCAGCGTTCCCCTCGGGGGGGGGGCGGCCACAACCGGGGGCGCCGACATGGAGCGCGGCGACGGCCACGAGAAGAATGCGCAGAAGGCGCACGAGAGCGAGAAGCAGCCGGGCATCTGCACCTGGCTCTGCGCCTGGACCTACTACTGCTGCTACTGGCTCTGCCGCGGCGTGTTGCGCTGCGTCTACGCCATCTTCTGCTGCAAGCTCAACGTCGACGACTACTACTACGCGAAGAAGGCGGCCTGTTGCAAGAAGAGCCCCTGCGCGCTCGCCTGCAAATGCATGCCCTGTTTAAGCCTGCCGTGGCTCCGCAAGAACCGCCGGGCCACCTGCCGTTTTTTAATAATGCTGAACGTCGTCGCCGTCGCCTTTGCGATCTTCGCCACCCTGGGAAATCTCACGGGCAAGCCCCTCAAGACGACGTTCTGGTCCTACGTCGACGTCACCTACGCCTATGAATCCACGCCGTCCGTCGCGCCGACGACGGCCGCGCCCGTCGCGCCGACGACGGCCGCGCCGTCCGGCGACGGCGCCGCGCCGACGATGGCCGCGCCGTCCGGCGACGGCGCCGCGCCGACGACGGCCGCGCCGTCCGGCGCCGTCGCCGCGCCGACGACGGCCGCGCCGTCCGGCGCCGTCGCCGCGCCGACGACGGCCGCGCCGTCCGGCGCCGTCGCCGCACCGACGGGCTCCGTCGCGTGCGAGTACACCGACGCCGTGACGACGTACGCCGTCGACGTCCTCGAAGGCGAGACGCAACAACTCTTCGCGATCCCGGCGAGCCAGCAGCGCACGTGGATCCAGCTGGATGCAACGGCGGACATCGACTTGAAATTGGAGACGTCCGCCGGCGTCGTGCTCCTCGACTTCCCCTCGCTCACGAACTGGGCAAACGAAATGACGGTATACACCTACAACGGCATGACCTTCGATTTCTGCGTCGACGGCTGCACGTACACGCTCACCGCGGGGCCCTACTACGACGGGAAGACCTACACGCTCACCGGCTCCTCGTCCTACAGCAGCGAGTACATCTACGTCGACGGCGCGACGACGGAGGATCTCGTGTTGTCGGCCGTGGGCCACGCGGCGGGGTCCGGCACGGTGTCTATTCTGTACGACTGCCCGGCGACCTGCGGCGTTTGCGTCGCTCGCCCGACGGCGGCGTCGACCAACCAGCCGACGACGGCGGCGCCCTCGAGGCGTCCCACGTCGAGCCCGCCCAGCATGCCGACGGCCGGCGACCAGTCGAGCCCGCCCAGCATGCCGACGGCCGGCGACGTGTCGAGCCCGCCCAGCATGCCGACGGCCGGCGACCAGTCGAGCCCGCCCAGCATGCCGACGGCCGGCGACGTGTCGAGCCCGCCCAGCATGCCGACGGCCGGCGACCAGTCGAGCCCGCCCAGCATGCCGACGGCCGGCGACGAGGGACACGTGCCAGAGTTCGTCGACGACGACGAGCTGCAGACGTCGAAAGCCGAGGACACGACGGACTCGTGCGCGGACGCGGCCGGAAGCATGGCGTCGACCAGCATCATCGCCGTGGTGACGCTCCTGCCGACGATCAACACCCTGATGATCCGGTCCGATGCTTCCCTGGACTCGCCGTGCAACAAGTTCGCGAGCGTGCTTCTGAGCATCATGAGCTCCATCGCGACCATCGCGACGACGGCGACGTTCTCCAAGGAGTGTTTCCAGGAGCTCCCGAGCTCCATCTACGTGAACGGGGTGAAGGCGGCGGACCTGGACAAGAAGCTGGGCGTGGGCTACTTCCTCGAGATCATGGTCGCGGTGGTTGGCATCACCACGGGCCTCATCATGCTCTTCCTCGGCGTGCCGCCGGCGGGCGGCGCCGCGGGCGGCGCCGAGGCGCCCGCGAAGCGGCCGGGCATCTGCGGCTGCATCTACGCCTGGATCATCTGGCTCGTCTGCTGCTGCCAGCCCTACAACGGCGACGACGGCGCGAGCGACGCCGTGAAAGACGCGAAAAAAGCGGGGAAGAATAAGCGCCGCAAATATCGCAAGCGGAACGCCAAGGACGAGGCAAAGCAGGCGCGCGAGGACGTCGAGAACGCGAAGAAGGCCCAGACCGTAGACATCGGCGGCGTGGGCAAGCCCACGGACGCCGAGGTAAAAGCGCTGGAGGACGACGCCAAGACCGCGGACGAAGAAGCCAAGAAGGTGGAAAACGAGACGGCCGACGACGACGACAACGTCGACGGCGAGCCCGAGACGAGCGTCGTCAACGCCGACGGCAAGGAGTACAAGCGCATCGCGCTCGTCGATACCGATGTGGACGGGTGCTTCTGGAAGCAGAGCGACGCGTTCGTCACCGTGGAGACGTTCCGCGTCCCCGCGCCGTACCGCGCGCGCCGCACGGTGCTCAAGGGCAACTGGCGGGACCAGGGCTGGGGCAACCAGAAGGGCAAGGTCAAGCTCGTGCTGCTCCGCGGAGACACGGAGCTCGCCTCCAAGGAGATCGACAACGTCGCGCCGCACAAGCTCGCGGCCTTCAGCCTCCAGCTCGACGTCGGCGCCGACGTGCAGGGCCCCGACCACGCGGTCGCGGTGCAGGTAGGCGCGACCGAGCGGGTGCTTCGATGCCGCCCGCGAGCGAACCTCGCGCGTTCACTAACACCGATCGAACGATACGCGTGCTAGCCGTACCCGGGGTCGCGCGCGAGCCCGGCGTCGATGCACGGCTGCGCGCAGCCGTTGTCCCTCCAGAGGCACTGGTCTTCCTCGAAGTTCCGCGGGTCCGCCGCGCAGGGATCGGCGATCTCGCGCGTGAGCCGGCGGTACTCGGCGAGCTCGCGTCCCAGCGGCCGGACGTCGCGTCGCACGCGGGCCGACGCGTTGCGCCAGAGCGCGTAGTCGGCGGCCGCGCGCGCCTCGAAGCCGGTCTTCTCGGCCCACTTGCGGACGCGCGCGAGCTGCGACTCGTCCGCGCGGACGAACGCGTTGCCGGTCGCGGGGTCCCGGGCCCCGGCGACGCTCGAGTTCTTCGCGCTCACCGAGAGCACGTCGCCGAGCGGCACGCCGAGGCGCGCCGCGAGGAGCACCATCGTCTCGTCGAAGAGCTCGACGGTTCCGACGAGGTCGTAGACGTCGAGGAGGCGGTCGACGTCGCCCGGCCGCGGCGCGGCGCCGCAGTCCGTGCGCAGGTAGTCCCAGAGGTAGTGCCGCTCGGCTTCGAGGTGCGCGACGACCTGCGCGTCCGAGTGCTCCGCCGGGTGGAGCTTCGTGACGCCGAAGTGAAAGTACGCGGAGACGCTCCGCGCGAGCGGCTCGCGGACGACCGTCCAGAGGAACGCGCGCCAGGTCGGCGCGCCCATGGCATACCAGTCGGCGATCTGCGTCAATTCGCCGTGGTTCGCGTAGACCGCGGGGCGCGTCCGGTAATTCCAGGAGGGCTTGTTCCCTCGCCACCGGGTCCGGTGGCCGTGCCTCGACCCGACGCGCCGCGCGACGCCCGCGGTGGTGCTGCTGCTGCACTTGGGCACTTTGATGAAGACGATCGACGTCTCCGAGACGTTCGGACCCGGCCCGGCGTCGTAGCGCGCGCCGAAACTCTTCCGCGAAAAGTCGCGCACCGCGGGGAGGCAGCGCCCGCCGGACTTCGCGCTTCCCGCGTTGCGACGGTGGTTGCAGACGTGGTCGTTCGTAAGTATGGTCGGCAACTGCCAAAAGCACGTCGACTGGCCCTCGCACTCCGCGGAGTTCTTGACGCGGCGACAGTGGAGCCCCCGCGCAGACAGCAGGCAGGTCGCGACGACGAGGGCAAACACCATCGCGAGCGCTTCCGGCGGCGGCGGCGACGCGACGAAGCGCGGCAGGGGGGGGAGGTCTAGGGCGCCGACTCGTTCGCGGAGTATGCCCGACGCGCGAGCGGCGACGACGTAGTAGGCGACCGCGCCCCGGTGCTGTGGCAGTTCGGGAGGCCGTCTCGGAGTGCTCGGAGAGGAGGCCTGAGAGGCGTCGGGAGATGGTCGCCTGGTGAGTCTTGCCGCCCGAAACTCGCTTCCGCACGAGGCCGAGTAGCACTCGGCCGCGCGTCTCGGTCACGCGTGGCCCCGGCGGCCGACGCGGCGGCACGGGCGGCTCGCCGCGGCGGCGGGATTGTGAACTTTGAAGTTCGCGGCCCGCCGGGCCGCGGCGCGCGCGCGACGGCGTGGCCGACCACGAGCCATCTACCGAACTTTCCCTCGCAAAGCCCGACGCCCGCGAGGACTCCTCGCAGCCACCGACGCTCGAGATGGGCCGCGCACGCGTCGCATCCACGGCGGCCGACGACGGCGTCCGGGTCTCGCCGGGGGTACCGGGAAATCGTGAGTGAAGGCGATAGAGTGGCTGCTCGACGCGGGCCTCAGCGTTGACGCGGGCCTCACCGTCGACGCGGGCCTCAGCGTCGACGCGGGCCTCACCACCATGACGAACAGCGATGGCACGTACAGCGACGTGTCGCGCAAGCTCATGGCGAGCATGGGGTGGACCAAGGGCAAGGGCCTCGGCAAGCACGAGCAGGGCATCGACGAGCACGTAAAGGCGAAGAAGCGCGAGGACAACATCGGCCTCGGCGCCGACGCCTCCGTCGAGGCCCAGTTCGCCGCGGGCATGCACAAGGGCAGCGGCAAGGCGTCCTTCGACGCCGGCGGCGGCCAGTGGTGGGTCGACAGCTTCGCGGGCGCGCTCGACTCCGTGCGGGCGCGGCGCGGCGCGCCCGCCGAGCCCAAGGCGAAGAAGCGCAAGGCGAAGCGCGACGCCGCGGGCAAGAAGATGACCTTCCTCGACGAGTGCTTCGCGGCGACGAACGGCGCGCGCCTCGGCATGCGCGCGCGCCGGAGTCAGGGCGGCAAACTCCGGCGCACGGAAACAGACGCGGCCGCGGCCGCGCCGGCCGCGGCGACGGCGACGAAGCGCAAGGCGGACGACGCCGAGGAGGCCGCCGCCGGGGAGACCCCCGAGGAGCGCAAGCTCCGGAAAAAACGCCGAAAGGAGGCCAAGGCCGCGAAGAAGGCCGCCAAGGCCGCGGCCGCGTAACTCGTCTCGCTCGAGCACGTATCGAGGGGCAGCGGTGGCGCGCGAGTAGCAGGGGCCCCGCTGCGTCGCGGCGCGGCGGGCGTCGGCGCGCGCCGGGACGCGTCCGCCGAGGCCTGCCGCCGGGGTCGCCGGCCCCTACTTGGGAGAGCAAGCTCTGCCAGCGGCGACGCAGCACAGCGTCGAGCGTCGACGATGAACCGCATCGCGGGCTTCTTCGGCGGCGGCGGCAAGAAGGATGACTCCGACATGGCCATGCCGGAGAAGACGGACATGGCGCTCGGCGCCGACGACTACACGAGCGGCCACGGCTCCAACTTCGGCGCGGCGCCGGGCGCCGGCGGCCAGGTGAGCCGCGGCCCGAGCAAGGCCGCGGCGGCGAGCCCGGAGATGCTGCAGCGCGCCGTGCTCCAGGAGCAGCGCAACGCCCGCGTCCCAATTGCCGGCCCCGCGCGCGCGAGCGCGCGACGGCGGCGCGCGCGTCTTCGCAGGCAGAAGGCGCTCGTGCAGCAGGTCATCTCCAAGCTCACGGAGGTGTCCTTCGACACGTGCATCGCCAAGCCCGACAGCGCCCTCTCCGCCGGCGAGCGCGCCTGCATCCACACCATGGTCGGCAAGTACCTCGACACGTCGGAGTTCGTCATGGGCCGCGCCGCGAAGAAGCAGCAGGCCCAGCAGGCCCAGCAGTTCGGCTAGGCGGGCGCGCGGCCGCTAACGACAGTACCATAACCCGCCGGCGGGGTGTGTGAACAGTCGGGTCGCGTCGTGAGCCGCAGGCCCAGCAGTTTACGTCGTCTTAGCGCGCGTAGTGGGCCTCGTGGCGGACGACGGGGACCCGCGCCGGCGGCGGCGGCAGCGTCGCGCCCGACGACGGGTCCGTGCCGAAGTGGCCGCAGGGGCAATCGCGGTGCGGGTGCCAGCCCGCGCCCCGCGCCACGGCGCGCGCCTGGCCGAGCTGCTCCTCGAGGCGCATGCACTGGAGCTGCTTCGCGACGCTCTCCAGCGACGCGAGGCGCGCGCGGAGCGCGGCGTCGCCGTCGGACGCGCGCCGCGGCGGCGGCGGCCGCGACCGCGCGCCCAGGAGCCGCATGCGCGGGCCCCGCGGCGGCGGCGCCGCGGCCGGCGCCGCCCGGCCGGAGGCGCGGCGTCGAGCGCGAATGTCTTCCGCGTCTTCCGCAGCGCGTCGAAGGCCTTGGCCAGGAGCCCGTGCACCATGCGCAGGATGACGACCTCGCAGCCCGCGAGGCGCGCGGCGGCCTCCGCGCGGCGCTCGCTCTTCACGAAGACGCGCCAGGACGCCCAGGCCGCCGCGGCGAGCCGCGCGGCGCCGTCGGCCAGCCGGACCATGGTCCGCCGCACGGCCGCGTCCGCGCGCGCCTTGGACAACGCCTCGGCCGCGGCGGCCCAGGTCGCGAAGGCGACGCGCGACCGGCGCCGCAGCAGCCCGAGGACGACGCGCCGGGCGAGGGCCTCGCGGCGGCGCTCCCACGCGACGAGGGCCGTCCACGTGCGCAGCCCCGCGCTCAGCTTCGTCTCCGCGAGCCGGCAGAGCACCTTCCAGGCGAGCCGCTCCGCGCGGCGCCGCTCCCGGTCGTGCGCGACCCACGCGTTGAAGCCCCTCGCGAGGTCGCGGTCGCGGAGCATGCCCAGGACCCGGAGGCACGTGCGGCCCGCGACGCCCAGCGCCGCCGAGAAGCCGGCCCAGCACCGCCAGGCCCGCGCGACGTCCCGCTGCAGCCACCGGCCGCGCGCGCGCGCGACCGAGAGGTAGCGCCGCCGCGCGCCGCGGCCCCGCAGCCGACCCTGGAGCTTCGCCGCCGCGGCGTCGCGCGGCGCGCGGTCCATGTCGGCCCAGGCCCGCCGCGCGAAGGCGTAGCGGTGGTCGTCGGCGTCCCAGTCGTCGTCGTCGTTGTCGGGCCAGCGCGCGTCGGTTAGGTAGTTCGCGCCGAAGCCCGGGCCGGGCCCGAGCGTCCGCACGGTCGCCGGCTTCACCTCCGTCCGGTCCTCGAGGAAGCACGCCTGCGGGTGGAGGTCGTCGAAGGTCTCCGCCGGGTCCCAGGCGAAGACGCGCTTCTGGCCCAGGCGCCGCGGGCCGGGCTCGGGAGCGCAGAGGCCGATGCGCCGCCCGCGCCGGCTCGACGCCGCCGATTCCGCGGCCGTGCGGGGCTGCCGTCGCCGCGCCTCTGTCCAGTAGGACATGGGCATGGCTCGTGCGCCGCGCGCCGACGCAGCCCCGGTGCTCGACGGTTGAGGCGCGGAAACCATAGCGTCCCTTCAATAACTTGGTCGTTAGCCGCTTGAAGGGATGCTTCAAACACTTGAGCCTCGGTCGCCGAATCGGAGGAGGTGGTCTCCCGTCCAGGCGCCTGTCCGTGCTGCCAGCCAGCCCCCGTCGCCGAAGGTTGCCGCAGCAACCGACCGCCGAGCCGCCTGTGTCCGCGCGATCTGTCCGCGCGCCTCGCTGCCCGCCAGCCATGCGCCTCAACTGGGACACGGTGCTCGTGGGCAAGCGCGTCGTGCTCGTGCCCTACCGCGAGCGCTACGTGGCGCCCTACCACGCCTGGATGCAGGACGACGCGCTGCTCGAGCAGACGGCGAGCGAGCGGCTCACCCTCGCCGAGGAGCGCGCGAACCAGGCGAGCTGGCGCGACGACGACACGAAGCTGACCTTCATCGTCCTCGCGCGCGAGGCCTGCTTCGGCGGCGACCGGTTCCCCGCGGCGGCCATGGCGGGCGACTGCAACCTCTTCCTCGACCGCGACGGCGCGCCGGAGGCCGAGGTCGAGGTCATGGTCGCCGAGCGCAAGTTCCGGCGCCGCGGCTTCGGCGCCGAGGCCGTGGAGCTCCTCCTCGCCTACGCGTCGCGGGAGCTCGACGTCCGCCGCTTCTTCGCCAAGGTCGGCGACGCGAACGGCCCGTCGCGGCGGCTCTTCGAAGGCACGCTCGGCTTCGAAAAGTGCAACTACGTCGCCGCGTTCAAGGAGACGGAGCTCGAGCGCGTCGTCGAGGCGCCGCTCCCGCTCGCGGCCTTCGCGACGTCCTACGACGCCGCGCCGGCGGCGGGCTTCGCCGTCGACGAGTTCGGCGTGTCTCACGACGACGGCGTCTACGCGTGCGCCGTCGTCCTCTTCGGCGCCCGGAGCGCCTTCTGCTGGGTCGGCCGCGCCGGCGAGGCGCCGAACCTCGGGGCCCTCGTCGCCGCGGGGCCGCGGGCCTTCGAGTGCGCCGCGGCCGCGGCGACGGCGCTCGTCGACGGCGACGGCGGCGGCGTCGGCGCGGCCATGGCGCAGCGCCTCAGCCGGGCGAGCGGCCGCGTCGTCCTCGTCGCCTGGTCCCTCGGCGACGGCGAGGACGTCGGCGCCGCGCGCGTCGAGCGCGAGCTCGCCAAGGCGCTGCCGCCCTTCGGCTGCGGCTTCGCGCCGAGGGCGCCCGCGCCCGAGGCCGCGGCGTCCGCGGACCTCTTCGGCGACGACAGCGACGACGACGGCGGCGCCGCGGTGCCGCCGCCGCCGCCGCCGCCGAGGGTCGCCGCGGCGCCCCTGCCGGCGGCGCCGCCGTCGAGCTTCGGCTGCGCGCGGCTCGCGGCGTTCGCGCCGCCGGCGTTCGACCCCGTCTACGTGCACCCGGCCCTCGCCGTCGTCGACGTCCCGGGCGTCGGCGGCGGCCGGGGCTACGCCGCGTCGCGGGACCTGCCGCCGGGCGCGCTCCTGCTCTGCGAGCGGCCCCTGCTCGCGCGCGCGAGTGTGGAAACCAACCACTGGTTTGGGGGGTCCCCACCAAACTTCAGAACTCTCTATCTCGATCAAATCGTAGTCGATTCGGCTGATTTTTGGACGAATCGATTGCTCTCATCGAGATCTCGAAGCACAACAGAAGAAAGTGCGTCGAAACCGTCGCATACGATCACATTGAAGTCGGGTTGAAGATTTGGTTTCCACACAGGCGCGCGCGGAGACGTACGACCCGTCGGACGCGGCCGCGTGCCTCGCGCTCGCGGCCGCGCGCGAGCCGGCCTACGCGGCCGCGCTCGCGAGGCTCCACCCCGTCGGCGACGCCATGGACTTTTCGCGGCTCCTCGACGTCTGGCGCTTCAACGCCTTCGAGAGCGGGCTCTACCCGCGGCGCGCGCTCTTCAACGACGCGCGCGACCCGACGTGCGCGCAGCTCGTCGTCGTCGACGACACCCTGGGCCCCCTGGCCGAGGTCTGGACCTGCCGGGCCGTGGCGAAGGGCGACGCGCTGACGCTGAGCTACGTCCAGCCCGCGGAGGCGACGGCGGCGAAGCGGCACGCGTACACGAACGCGCACCACGACTTCGCCGCGGCCGAGCCCGGCGACTTCGCCGCGGACGAGGCGCTGGAGCGCGAAATCGACGCCGTCGACGAGGCCTTCGAGGCCGTCGACGTCGCCGACGCCGCCGACGCGGGCCGGGCCCGGGCCGCGCTCGTCGACGCGCTCGCGGCCGCGGCGTCCGCGGCCGCGCGCCTGCCGGAGCGCGACGCGCTGCGCCGCCGCGCGCACGGCGCCTGCGCGCGCGTCGCCGCCGCGCTGAGCGGCGCGCGCGTCGCCGACGCCGTGCCGGCGGGCGTCGTCGACCTCGACGCGCGGTCCGCGGCGGACGGCGTCGCGCTGCGCCACGCGCTGGCCTGGCTTCGGGGGCTCGAGGCCGCGGGCAAGGCGGACCACCCGGACGCCGCGCCGGCCAACGGCATCGCCGGCGACGCGCTCCGCGCCCTCGCCGCGACGCGCGCGGCGCCCGTCGTCGCCCGCGTCGCGGGCGCGGCCTGGGCGACGGCCGCGGAGGTCCACGCGGCGCTCGCGAAGCTCGACGCGGCCGCCGACCGCCTCAAGCGGCTCTACGACGCCCGCCGCTGGATCGCCGACGAGTGCGCGTAAACACAACAGGAACTTAATCGCAGGCGCAGCCCGTGCAGTCCGCGCCCGCGGCCTCGAGGTCCGCGCAGCTCGCGGCCGCTCCGTCGCACGTGTAGACGGCCGCGTCGGCGTCGCAGGGCGCGCCGTCGGTGCAGAGGTTGAAGACGCAGTCGCGCGGCCGCGCGCCGCCGAAGGCGCCGGCGCCGCACCAGTAGTCGAGCTCGCCAAAAATATCTGGGCGCCCGACGAAGTCGTAGGCTCCCGCGCCTGGGCGGGACAAGAGAGATTCAACGTCGCTTCAACATGAGTCCGCGCGCGCGCGTTCCGGAAAAAGCATCCGGAAAAAGCGTCCACGCGTCGAGAGCGCTCCCAGAGATGATCGCTCGTCCAAAAATCAGCCAAAACGAGTGGAAAACGGCCGAGAAAGGAGCCTTTGAAGTTGGGAATTTCGCTCTCTTGTCCTGCCCTGTCCCGCGCTCGCGTCGCGGTCCGCCCAGTCGTCGCGCCCATCGTCGAGGATCTGCGGGTTCATGGCGAGGTAGGACGCGCAGGACGCCGCGAGCGCGCCCGCGTCGTCGCGGCACGCGTCGCAGAACGCGTGGACCTGGCACTGCGTCGTCCGGGGCTCGCCGCGCGTCGCCGCGGGCGGTACGGCCTCGAAGGTGCCCGCGCAGACCGCGTCCATCTGCGCGATCATCTGCCACTTGCAGGGCACGTACCAGCCCTCGGCGCCCGCGGCCGCGCACGCGCCGCCCGTCGCGGCGGCGCCGTACGTGGCCGCGTCGGCGCCGAACTTGCCCGGGTCGCCGCCGAGGCTGAGCTCGGCGCCGGCGCAGGCCTCAAAGTCGTAGCCCGCGAAGTCGTCGCAGGCCTGGGCGAGCCGCGCGAGCGCCGCGGCCGGGAGCGACGCCGCCGCGTCCGCCGCCGCGGGCGCCGTCGCGGGATCCGCCGCCGCGTCCGACGCCGCGGCCGGGAGCGACGCCACCGCGTCCGGAACCGCGTCCGCCGCCGCGTCCGCCGCCGCGGGCGCCGTCGCGGGATTCGCCGCGTCCGCCGCCGCGTCCGACACCGCCGCGGGGCTCGCGGGCGCCGCGATGCCGTAGGACGCGAGGACGGCGTCGATGGCGACGCCCTTGTCCGCGTCCGGGTCGAGGCCGCGGACGCAGTTGACGACGAGCGGGCACGAGGACGCGGCGAGCGTCGTGTCCAGCAACTGCAGGTCCACGGCGCCGTCGCCGTCGCCGCAGTCGTTGGGCACGGGCCAGGCGCTCTCGCCGTGGGCCCCCGCGCAGAGGCTCCCGTCGAAGAGCGCCGGCCGCTCCTGCAACAAATACGCGAGGCCGCACTGGTCGTTGTCCTGCGTCGCCTCGTGGATGCCCTTGCACTGGTCGCCGATGGTGTGCCCCCCGGCCAGCGTGTAGGTGGAGTCGAAGCCCGAGGCGACGATGTCGGGCATGGACAGATCCAGCATCGCCCGCAGGAACGTCCGCCCCTCGTCCGAGCCGACCCGGAGCAGGAAGGCGCCCAGGTTCACGCAGCTGCCCAGGAAGCCCGCGTCGGCGCAGCCCCCGGCCAGGGCCTCGGGCCCGCAGAAGCCGCCGACGTACGTCGGCGTCGACCAGACGGCGAACGCGCCGCCGTCCGCGGGCAGCCACCGGTCGAGCGCCGCGTCCGTCGCGACGAAGACGGCGTCGGCGTCGGTCCAGAAGGCCCACTCGCAGCCGCTGCGCCGCGCGACCTCGAGCGAGCAGTACTTGGCCGAGGCCATCGTGTACTCGAAGCCGTCGTCGGCCGTCGTGGAATACGCGTCGGGGCACGCGGCCGCCAGATCCTCGAGGGTGTCCTCGAGGCGCGCGACGACGCGGTAGCCGTGCTTCTCCGCGTAGGCGCGCTTGAGCGGGAGCGTGCGCTCCTGGGACAGGGCCACGTAGTCCCCATAGGCCGCGTGAACCAGACAGATGGAGCTCGGGTCCCAGGTCGTCGTTTCCTGGAGCTGGGGTGGTGCTCGTGTCCTTTGCTGCGTCCAGGCGACGGCCAGGGTCCCGGCGACGCCCAGCGCCAGCGGCGCCGTCCAGCGACGCGGGCGCTGCCTGCCGAGGAGGCTCGCGGCCTCGTCGGTGGGCTCCATCGTGGCCGCCTTGAGGAAGGCTTTGGAAGGTGCTGCACGTTCGAAGGCAACACCCTCCAATGCCGTCGATTGGCGAGTCGGCTTCTGATTGTGGCATCCAGCATCCAGACGCCAAGAAATCCGCGTGCCTCACAAGAGGTATGCACAGACAACCTTAACCACTGTCATGCTGATCTGAGATGAGTGGTCTGTAAATGGGGTGAGGTAGTGGTGGTGGTGGTGGGGGTGGTACCCCTGGGGCCGCTGGAGACCACTCGAATCCACCGGAATTATGCTTGTTTTGGCTCTATCGACCAGTTTTGATCTCGAGCTTGAGCAAACTGGTGGTTTTGACGCTCGATCATAAATTTCGACCGTGTGGAGGTCATGGCCGAGCAGCCCTCCAGCTGCCGATCGGCCAGAACGGGTGGTTCACAGGCTTCGTTGACCCCATGTTGCAGCTGTTTTGACCACTCATTTTGAGCAAGTCGCGACTCAGGGGTAGTTGGTTAGTGGTGCTTGGTGTCGTGGGGTGGTTCGCTGCCGGCCTCTTGGTGCCTCAGCCACAAGCGCAGCCAATCGCCACTGCCGCAGCCACAAGCACAGCCAAACGCGCAAACGCATCGACGATGGCATCCAAGGTCGCCGCCGTGATCGGCTACGGCCCCGGCATCGGCCACTCGTGCGCCGCGCTGTGGGCCGCGAACGGCTACACGGTCGCGCTCGTCAGCCGCACGGCCTCGAAGCTCGAGGCCGCGGCGAAGACCATCCCCAACGCGAAGCCCTACCCCTGCGACATCACCGACGACCATGCGCTGCGCGCGTGCCTCGTCGACATCGCCCGCGCGCTCGGGCCGATCGACGACGTCATCTACAACGCGGGCAACGGGGTCTGGAAGAAGTTCGACGAGATCTCCGTGGACCAGCTCGACGCGGCCATGAAGACGAACGTCTACGGCCTGCTGTCGACGTGCCAGGTCGCGACGCCGGCCATGATCAAGCGCGGCTCGGGCAACGTCATCGTCACGGGCGCGACGGCGAGCCTGCGCGGCATGCCCTTCACGAGCGCCTTCGCGAGCGCCAAGGCGGCCCAGAAGTCGCTCGCGCAGAGCGTCGCGCGCCAGCTCTGGGCCGAGAACGTCCACGTGTCCTACGCGATCATCGACGCGTCCGTCGGCCCGGCGGTGCCCAAGCAGATGCACCCCGACTCCATCGCGCGCGAGTACTGGCACCTCGCGACGCAGACCAAGGACTGCTGGACCTTCATGCACCACATCCAGACGTCCGTCTCCGACATGGCGCTGCTCTGATCCGGGTCACGTAATGTTCAACTTGAGTGCACATTGAACCACGATGCAGGAAGGCTGGCAGGGCCGCCCGCGCGATGGAAGCTTCGTCCACCGGAACCTCCAGGACGTCGACGGCAAGGGCCGCGCGCCCCGGCCGGCCGCGGTCCTCGCGCGCTACGCGACGACCCTCGCCGCTTTGCGGGCCTACGCGGGCGCCGCCCTCGGCGACTGCGTAAGGCCGCTACTCTAGCTCGCCGCGCAGCCCGCCGCCGCTCGCCGCCTCCCGGGCCTCGATGGCGAGGAACTCCGCGCCGAGCGTCTCGTCGAAGTGGCCCTTGGCGTCCCCCGCGCTGCCCTTGCGGTAGAAGTAGGCCTTCTTGCCCGCCTTCTGCTTCATGGCGTCGAAGTTCGACAGCGCGTTGACCTTGTGCATGAGCTCGGGCGTCGCGTCGACGCCGACGAACGCGGCGACGCGCGCGATCTCCCGCTCCGGGTCCGCGAGCACGTCCTCGTAGCGCAGCCAGAGGACCTGGTCCGGCGACTCGCGCGCGCGCGCGCGCCAGCCCCGCCGGTGGTCCCAGATCGTGCCGTGCTCGAAGAGGCCCGACGCCCAGGCCTTGGCCCAGGCCGCGAAGGGCCAGCCGAGCTTGAAGGGCGACGCCGCGTGGTAGTAGGCCGACACGCAGGCGTCGCGCGCGTCGCGCGTCACGTAGATAATCCTGAGGCCGGGGACGAGCGCGCCCGTGGTCACGTCCGTCCCCAGGAAGATCGCCGAGGGCGCGTGCGTCTTCACGACGCGCGGCGCCGGCAGGGACGCGAACTTGGCCAGGGGCATGCGCAGCTCCCCGCCCCTGCCGTCCCCGGCGCCCGGGACGGCCGCGACCTTCTCGACCCAGCACTTGCCTGTGTGGAAATCAACCACTGGTTTGGGGGGTCCCCACCAAACTTCAGAACTCTCTATCTCAATCAAATCGAAGTCGATTCGGCTGATTTTTGGACGGATCGATTGCTCTCGTCGAGTTCTCGAAGCACAGCAGAAGACCTCGCGTCGAAACCGTCGCATAAGCGCACATTGAAGTCGGTTTGAAGATTTGATTTCCACACAGGTACTTGCCGTGGCCCCGGGCGTCGCTCCACTCGTTCTGCGACGACGGGTCGAGCTTGGCCGCGTCGCCCCCGGCGAGGAGCGCGAGGACGACCTGCTCCGTCAGCGTCGTGCCCGTCTTCGGGAAGCTCGCGATGACGACGTCCGACGGCCGCAGGAGGTCCGGCGCCGCGCGGAGCGCGTCCCAGTTCGGGTTCGTGATGAACGGCGGGTGGGGGATGCCTGGGGCGGGAGCCGTCGCGTACGAATAACAAGCAGACGCGGTGCGAGCGCGCCGTGGACGCCCCGGTTCGACGCGTCCGGGCCGCGGAAGCGCACGGACGGGTCGGCCTTCGACTCGACGTAGTAGGCGTCGGCCTCGCCGCCGCGGCCCGTCTCCATGACGACGCGCCAGTCGTCGAGGCTCATGGACTGCCGCCGCCGCCGCCGGACCAGCGCGACGGCCGCGCCGACGGCGGCCACGACGGCCGCGAAGGCGACGGCCTGGGGCTTGGACATCGCGGGAATAAGGCAGCCTTGGCAGCCCAGCTTGCAGCTGAAGGAATAGTGAAAACCTTATCTTGGCTAAAAAAACATCACGGTTTGGGCGGCAACTTTGGCGAAGTGGACTCCGGGAAATCGTCTCGTGATCGTGTCAACTGGTGAGTGCGCGTGCGCGCACCACCATCGCGCGCGAGCTGCTCGCCAGCAACGGCGATCACCCCTCCACCCCATCGAAGAGAGCAGAAAAAATAGCAGCCACTGACTTCCAAAACCCCCATCGCAGCAGCCCCGAATGCTTCCGATGCTTCGCGTTCTCGCGGTCGCCGCGCTGGCATCCGCCATGGTCCCGCGCACCATGGAGCGCGTCGTGCAGACGGCCAAGAAGGAGGCCGCCGCGGGCACGCTCGACGGCACGGTGAAGATGAAGCTGAAGCGGTCCGCGGGCGCGGAGGCGCCCAAGGTCGCGGCGCGCGTCGCCGAGGCCATGGGCTGCGCCCCGCCGCGGCGCGTCTTCCGCCCCGCCGGCAAGCACGAGCTCAAGCACGTGCGCGCGGGCCTCGACCTCCACTACTCGACGGACTGCGCCGCGGCCAAGGAGGCGGGCGCGCCCGGCACGTCGGCGAAGCCCAAGGCGGGCCGCCGCGCGGTCTGGGCCCTCGAGAGCCTCGCGCGGACGGACCGGGCGCTGCTCGACGCCGTGGAGACGCTCGCCGCGGGCCTGGCCATCCAGCGCACGGGCTACGACATGGACGACCCCCTGCGGTCCGCGCAGACGCACTACGACGCGATAAATCTCGACGAGGCCTGGGAAATGGGCGCGGGCGACCCGTCGATCGTCGTCGCCGTCGTCGACACGGGCATGGACATGGACCACCCGGATCTTCAAAAGAACGTCTGGGTCAACGACGGCGAGATCTGCGGCAACGGCGTCGACGACGACAAGAACGGCTACGTCGACGACTGCTACGGCTACAACTTCGCGGACGACAAGGGCAACGGCGACCTGTTCGGCGACGGCTCCCACGGCACGCACTGCGCGGGGACCATCGCGGCGGACAACGACAACGACCTCTACGTGTCCGGCGTCGCGGGCGGCAAGAACGGCAACGCGGGCGCGTCCCTCATGACGCTCGTGGCCTTTGGTCAGGTGTCCTACGGCGGCTTCGCCGAGGGCATCGTCTACGCCGCCGACAACGGCGCCAAGATCGTCTCCAACTCCTGGGGGTACACGGCGCCGGACCAGTACGCGGAGGACGAGCTCGCGGCCATCGACTACGCGGACGATCTCGGCGTCGCGGTCGTCTTCGCGGCGGGCAACGCGGGCACGGACGAGAACTGGTACCCGGCCTACTACGACCGGGCCATCGCCGTCGCCGCCGTCGACGACGACGGCGTCGCGGCCTACTTCACGTGCTTCGGCGACTGGATCGACGTCTCCGCGCCGGGCGTCGGCGTCCTGTCGACGGTCGCGATGAGCGAGGGCGCGACGGACTACTACGACGGCACGTCCATGGCCTGCCCCCACGTCGCGGGCCTCCTCGCGCTGGGCTGGGCCATCGACCCGAGCCGCAGCAAGGACGACGTGCTCGACTGCCTCTACGGCACGGCGACGGATCTGGACGACGTCAACGGCGCCTACGCGGGCAAGCTCGGCGCGGGCCTGATCGCGGCCGGCGACTTCGCGGCCTGCATGAAGAACGGCGCGCCGTCGGCGGCGCCGACGCTGTCGCTGCCGCCGACCAGGTACCCGACGACGGCGTCGCCGACCGCGACCTTCTCGCCGACGGACTACGGCTGCGGCCGCTGCGACCTCGTGCTCACGCTCGTGCTCGTCACGGACCAGTACCCCGAGGAGACGGGCTGGAGCCTGAGCTGGGACAACCCCGGCGGCTGCCGCGGCGACGCGACGGCGCGAAAGTCCGCGGGCGCGTACGGCGCGCAGTACACCAAGTACACGGAGACGGTGGAAGGTTTGTGCGCGGGCTTCGAGTACACGTTCACCATCGCCGACACCTACGGCGACGGCATCCTCGAGGGCGGGAGCTACGTCGTCACCGTCGGCGGCGCCGACGTCGCCGCGGGCGCGACGTTCCAGTACTCGGAGAGCACGGTCTTCGTGGCCCAGTACGGCGGCACGCCCGCGCCGTCCGCGACGCCCGCGCCGACCTACGAGCGCACGCCGGCGCCGACGACGAAGCCCGTCACGCCCCTGCCGACGAGCGACATGGGCGACTGCGTCGTCGACTACCCGGACTACGTCGGCGACGGCTACTGCGACGCCTACGGCGGCGGCTACAACACGGAGGCCTGCGGCTGGGACGGCGGCGACTGCTGCTTCTGCACCTGCGACGACGGCGGCTCGTCCTACGCCTGCGGGCCCTACGACTGCCGCGACCCGGACGAGGCCGAGCCGTCGTGCGAGGTCGACGACGGCGCCTACGCCTACGGCGGCTACGGCAACTACGGCTACGGCAGCCCCTACGGCAACTACGGCAACTACGGCTACGGCGCCTACGGCTACGACTACGACTACTGGTGGTACGGCGAGGACGACTACGGCGGCGACGACATGGCGCCGACGCCGTCGAGCGGCTACGTCGCGGGCCTCGCGGCCTGGGGGCAGACGGCCGAGGCCGTCGTCGTGTCCTGGGAGAGCGACGTCTGGCAGGAGAGCGCCTACAGCTTCAAGGTCGGCGTCGCGCGCGAGGGCGGCGACATGTCGTGGTCCTACCCGGCGTGCCAGGCGTCGGGCCAGGGCGCCTTCTTCCACGTCCTCACGGCCGCCGACGGCCTCGAGTGCGGCGAATCCTACGAGATCCTCGTCATGCAGGGCGACGCGCAGACGGAGACGATCGTCGCGCGCACGCTCGCGTGCGACGGCTCCGACGACGACGCGGCGTGCGTCTGCGACTGCGGGAGCGACTACGAGGAGGACGACTGCGCCGACAGCACGTCGTGGTACTACAAGAAGAGTCCTAAATCGGCGCCTCTTGGACAAGAATCTCCCCTTTTGGTAGTATTTTTATGCTGATTTAGGCAAGGACACGTGCTCCGACTACGTCACGAAGAAGAGCAAGAATTGCAAGAAGAAGGACGAGTTCAAGGTCAAGGCCGAGGACGCGTCGGCGGCGGCGTCGCTCCGCGCGCGCGCGTTTCCCTCGCGCGACGCCCGACCTCGCAGGTGCCCGCTGACCTGCGGCGTGTGCTCCTCGTCGGACTGCGAGGACTCGACGTCGTGGTACTACAAGAAGAGTCCTAAATCGGCGCCTCTTGGACAAGAATCTCCCCTTTTGGTAGTATTTTCATGCTGATTTAGGCAAGGACACGTGCGCCGACTACGTCACGAAGAAGAGCAAGAACTGTCGGCGCGGCCGCGTCGAAACGCGACGGTCTCGCGCGCGACGACGCGACCGCTTCGCAGGCAAGAAATACGGCGTCGACGACGTCCTCGCCGAGGACGCCTGTCCCGTGACCTGCGGCGCGTGCTAGCCGCCGCCGTTCCGCCGCCGCGGGGCCCCTCAAGGGGTGCCTCGACGCCGCCCCTCGCCGCCTCCGCGCCGCTCCCCTCGTCGCCGCGCGCCCGCCGATCAACCCCCCCCTGTGACCCCGCTCGACCTTTCCCTGTGTCCCCCAAGAATAAGAGCCGACCCCGCCGATGCGCGCTTAGTCCTAAAGGGCGTCAAGCCAAACATTGAAGTTCAAGTGCATCGTGTTTGGAGGACTCTAATTATGGGCGTGTCAGGCATGTCACGCCAAACCAAGGCACTCGTGTTGCTTGTGTGTGCAACTACCACAGCGCTGGTCGACGCGTCGAGCAACACGCGACGGTCCATCGTGCTCAGCGCGTCAAGCAACACGCGACGGTCCATCGTGGTCGGCGCGCCGCTGGTCGCCGCCAGTCAGCCAGCGGCCGCAGCCTACAGCGTTGTGAAATCCGACGACGATTGGCGCGCGCAGCTCGGCCCCGAGGGCTACGAGATCTTGCGTCGCGGCGGCACGGAGGCGCCGAACTCGAGCCCGCTCGCGCGCGAGACGGCGCTCGGCGCCTACGCCTGCGCGGCCTGCGGCACCGCGCTCTTCTCGTCCGCGGCCAAGTTCGAGAGCCGGACGGGCTGGCCCTGCTTCGGCGAGCCCGCGCCGGGCGCCGTCGAGGCCGACGGCGGCGGCTTCCTCGCGGGTGTGACGGGCGTCGCGTTCCGCTGCGCGACGTGCGGCGGCCGCGTCGGCGAGCGCTTCGGCGACGGCGCCGCGTACCCGGGCACGCGCGCCGCGCGGACGGGCCTCCGGTGGTGCGCCAACGGCGCGGCGCTCGTCTTCGTGCCGGCGGACGGGTCTCCCCCGGCGTCCGGCGAGCCGCCCGCGGGCCTCGGCAAGCAGCAGCGCGAGGTCCAGGACCGCGGCTACCGGTGGCAGATGCGCGACGGGGGCCTGCGACCCATATGATCGCCCCGCGAGCGGCCGAAGACGCGGAAGCGCCGGGAAGAATAAGAGCCGACCCCACGCGCTTCGCGGAGCAGCTTCTCCCGCCAAATCTCGCCTCTTAGTCGCCCCGCGAGCGGCCGAAGACGCGGAAGCGCCGGGACCGCTCGTGCGCCGCGTCGGACGGGTCCGCGAGGCGCGCCTCGAGGTCCGCGACCTCGGCCCGGAGCTCGTCGAGGCGCACGGCGTCCTCGGCGCCGCCGTCGCTGGGCATCTCGCGGATGCCCTCGAGGGCCGCCGCGCCCGTGGCCCGCGCGTCGAGCTCCTCGACGAGGCCCCGGACCATCTTCGTGAGCTCGACGTCGACGTTGAACGCGCCGCCGGACGTGCGCCAGAGCTCCTGGATGATGCGCAGCACGAGCGTCGTCGCGCCGCAGAGGCCGCCGAAGAGGGCCCCCTGGACGTTGAAGATGGACTGGGGCGCGCCGACGGCCGTGCCCGCGCCGAGGAGCGGGAACGCCGCGAGCTCGAGGATCGCGAGCACGTAGAGCAGCGCGATGCCCAGCGACGGGAACTTGCGCTGCATGGCGCCGAGCCGGTAGCCCCGCGCCTTCCGCAGGTCCCGCACGGTCTCGTAGACCACGGACGGCACGCCGACGGACGTGAGGTACATGATCGACTCGAGCGGGTCCTGCGACGGCGACCGCGCGACCAAATCCGCGGGCGGCACGTCGAGCCGCCTTAAATCCGACTTGATGTAGACCTTCATGGCCCGCAGGGCGTCCTTGTAGAAGGGCCGCCCGGCGCAGACCAGGGCCATCTGCTCCAGCAGGCTCTTGGCCTCCGAGACCTCCGCGTACAACGCGAAGTACATGGTCTCCTGCTGCGCGTAGAGCACCGTGAACGCGTTGCCCGCGAGGATGGAGAAGAGCAGCGAGATCACGGTGAGGAAGGACGGGATGAACTGGATCTCGTCGCTGCTCAGGAAGCGGATGCTCGACGCGTCGAGCCAGTTCTCGTTGATCCACGCGCTCAAGTTGTCGTAGTACGACACGCCCAGCGCCGCCGCGACGACCGACGGCACGAGGACGCGGCCCAGGGTCAGCAGCGCCGGCTTCGTGAAGCCGGGAAATTTCTGGCGCCGCTCCAGGAGGCTCTCGTAGCGCTTGCGCGTCACGGCGGGCCGCTGCGGCGCGCCGAAGTCGGGGTTCGCGCGCCGGCGGACGTCGCGCCGTGTCGTCGCCACGGTGCGCGGCGCGACGAGGGCGTCCGTCGCGACGGCGAGGAACGCGCACCAGCGCGCGGCACGCAGCAGCGTGCGCATGGCGGCACGCGCGTCGACGCACCGAAGTTCTCAAGTGTGGCTCGAAGACATCAAGCCGAAGTCGATGGTGTACATCAACGTTGATGTAGCAGCCCGCTCTCGACCATGGCGGCCTCGCGCCACCTCGTGCTCGGCGCCGGCCTCGTGTCCCGGCCGCTCATCGAGTACCTGTCGCGCGACGCGGCCCGCGCCGTCGTCGTCGCGTCGGCGTCGCCCGACGAGTTGGCGGCCGTGCGCAAAGCCTTCGCCGCGCGCCCCAACGTCGAGGCCGCGCGCCTCGACGTCGCCGGCGACGCGCCGGGCCTCGCCGCGCTCGTCGGCTCGGCGCGCGTCGTCACGAGCCTGCTGCCCGCGGCCATGCACGGCGCCGTCGCCGACGCGGCGCTGCGGTCCCCGGCGCCGCCGGACGTCGTCACCGCGTCGTACGTCGGCGATATGGCCGACCGCGACGCCGAGGCGAGATCGAGGGGCGTGCGCATCGTCTGCGAGGCCGGGCTCGACCCGGGCATGGACCACATGGCCGCCGTGAAGCTCGTCCACGAGGCCGCGGGGCGCGGGGAGGTCGTGACCGCCTTCCGGAGCGTCTGCGGAGGTTTGCCCGCGCCGGACGTCGCGGCCGAGGTGCCCGGCCTGCGCTACAAGTTCTCCTGGAGCCCGCGCGGCGCCCTGGCCGCGGCCTTCAACGCCGCGTCCTGGGTCGAGGACGGGCGGCTCGTCGAGGTGCCGGGCTCGGAGCTCCTCGCGAGCGCGGTCCCCGTGGACCCGTCGGCGTTCGCCGCCTTCGGCGACTTCGATCTGGAGTGCCTCCCGAACCGCGACTCGCGGCCCTACCGGGCCAAGTACGGCCTCGACGACGCGGCGACGGTCTTCCGGGGCACGCTGCGGTACCGCGGCGGCTCCGCGGCGCTCAAGGGCCTCGCGGACCTGGGGCTCCTCGACGACGTCGCCGCGGCGGGCGGCGAGACCTGGGCGGACCGCGTCGCGTCTTTGGCGACGTCGCGCCCCGGCGCCGCCGCGGACCTCGCGGCCTGGGTCGCCGCGCGCGGCGGCGCGGCCGCGGCGGCGCCGATGCGCGCGTCGGTGCTCGACGCGACGTGCGACGCGCTCGGCGCCGCGCTCGCCTACGGGCCGGGCGAGCGCGACGTCACGCTGCTGCGCAACGAGATCGAGGTCGAGCACCCGCGCACGGGCGAGCGCGAGCGCCGCGCGGCGTCGCTCGTCGTCTTCGGCGACGACGAGAACACGGCCATGGCCAAGACCGTCGGCCTCACGGCCGCCGTCGTCGCCGACGCGCTCGGCCGCGACGCGACGGCCGTCCGCCCCGGCGTGTCGACGCCCGCGGACCCGCGCGTCGGCGGGCCCGCGCTCGCGGCGCTCGAGCGCGAGGGCCTCGCCTTCGAGCACGACGCCGCGGCCGTCTACGGCACGGCCCACGGGTGACGCGACCGCCGGCGCGGAGACTATACTATTAAGCTGAGAAAGAATGCGGCGGCGAGGGGCGGGTGCCGCCGCGGGGGGTGCGGGGCGCGCCGATTTCGGGGGGAGGCGCGCTTGTTGGGGCCGCGGCCGCGGGCGCGGACCGCCGCCTTTCGGAGGGCGATCAGCTCGCCTGGATCTTGACGGAACCGCCGGCGCCCTTCTGCATCATGAAGAACGCGCCCGCGCCCGCGGCGAGGACGACGACGATGACCACCACGACGATGATGATGACCATGGCGCCGCCGTCGTCGTCGTCGCCGCCGCCGCCGCCCGCCGGCGTCGCGGGCGTCGGCGCCGGCGAGATCGACGGCGCCGCCGTCGGGTCGGGCGAGGGCAGCGGCGTGTCGACGGTGATCGCGACCGTCGACGCCGCGATGGCCGTCGTCGACGCCGTGACGTCGACCGCCGCGGACGCGAAGCCCGTGCTCGCGTCGCCGCCCGTGGCCGCGGCCTCCGTGGTCAGCGTGGACGCGAAGGAGCCGTCCGACACGGACGTCGTGAGCGCGGTCGTCACGTCCGAGAGGATGTCGTCGCCGGCCGTCACCGCGCCCGTGGAGCCCTCGACCGTCGCGTACATGTCGAAGTCGACCGTCGCCGAGACGGAAAGCAGGCCGCGCCGCCGGCGCACGAGCGTCGCCACGGGCTCGCCGATGCACGTCTCGTAGTCCGCCGCGCCGCCGGGGCAGATCTCGTCGGACGCGATGATGCTCGCGATCGTTTTCCGGAAGGCGGTCTTCATGTCCGTCTTGGCGTTGAAGTCGTCCGGGTCGAGACCGTTCATGACGACGGCCGACGCGACCGCGACGATCGTGTCGTACTCCGTCGGCATGGGCGACGGCTTTGGGGACGGCTTGGCCGTCTCGCCGGGCGGCAGGTTGACCGGAGCCGTCGTCGGCCGCGGCGTCGGCGCCGGGATCGGCACGGCCGTCGGCGCCGCCGACGGGTCCGGCTGCTCCTTGTAGACGCAGTGGCCGTCGTAGGACATGCCGCTGATGTAGAGGCCGTCCGTGTAGGTCTTGGCCGCGAGGTACTCGGACCACGTGAACCCGTCCGAGAGCGTGTTCGTGTCGATGTTCAGCGCGGGCAGGCTGCCGGAGATGTGGCCGTCGGGGTTGTAGTAGAAGTTGCCGTAGTTCTGCGCGTAGCCGTAGTCCATCGTGCACCGGCACGCGGTCGGGCTCGGGGACGGCGCGGGCGTCGGCGCCGGGGTCGGCGTGGCCGAGGGCGCGGGCGTCGGGGCGGGCGTCGGCGTCGCGGACGGCGCGGGCGTCGGCACCGTCGAGGGCGACGGCGTCGGGGCGATGGTCGGCGAGGCCGTCGGCTCGGGGGAGCCGGACGGCACGGGCGTCGGGTCGCCCGTCGGCACGCCGGACGGCGCCGGCGACGGCGGCGTCGACGGCTGGGACGTCGGCGTCACCGTCGGCATGCTCGTGGGCACCGACGTCGGCACGCCCGTCGGGGTCTCCGAGGGCGCCGCGGACGGCGGCGTCGTCGGCACGGGCGTCGGCACGGGCGACGGGCACGGCGTCACCTTGAAGCGGCAGCACGCGTCGATGTACACGTCGCGCACGTCCAAGTTGCCGGAGTTCTTGATGTTGTCGGCGTCGGACTCGCCGCTGAGCCACGCGAGGCTCGGGCAGATCATGGACGGCGCGGACGTCGGGACCGAGGTCGGCATGCCCGTCGGGCGCGACGTCGGCGCGGACGTCGGCGGGACCGTGGGCAGGGACGACGGCGGCGTCGTCGGGACCGAGGTCGGCACGGAGGTCGGCGGGAACGACGGGGCGAAGGACGGCTCGGACGTCGGGACGCCCGTCGGCACTGACGTCGGCACGCCGGACGGGTGCTCCGTCATGTACGTGGGCTCGGACGTCGGGATGGACGAGGGCTCCGGGGACGGCGGCGTCGTCGGCATGCCCGTCGGCACCGACGTCGGGTTGGACGTGGGCTCGGACGACGGCGTGAACGTCGGGTCCGAGGTCGGGACGCCGGACGGCTCCGGCGTGTCGTAGGTCGGGTTCAGCGACGGCTCCGAGGTCGGGACGCCCGTCGGCGCGGGCGAGGGCTCCGAGGAAGGGCAGCCCGTCGGGAGCGAGGTCGGCACGGCGGTGGGCACGGACGAGGGCTCGGCGGTCGGCGTGGTCGTGGGCGCCGGTGTCGGCACGCCCGTGGGCACGGGCGTCGGCATGGCCGTCGGCGTGTTCGTGGGCGTCGATGTCGGGTTGGACGTCGGCACGGGCGTCGGCATGCCCGTGGGCGGCAGCGTCGGCACGGGCGACGGCGGCGTCGTCGGCACGGGCGTCGGGCGGACCGTCGGGATCTCCGTGGGCGCCGGGCTTGGCGGCGTCGTCGGGTGCGGGCTCGGCGGCGTCGACGGCGTGCCCGAGGGCGCGCCCGTGGGCGTGCCGGACGGGAAGGGCGTCAGACTGGGCTTGGGCGTCGGCGCGGGCGTCGGGGTCGCCGTCGGCGCGGGCGTCGTCGGCTGGGGCGTCGGGGGGATCGTAGGCGACGGCGTCGGCGGCGACGTCCACGAGAGGTGGTCGAGGACGTAGGTGCAGCCGCAGATGTCGGTGATGATGGACTTGCAGTCGCCGATGGTCGGGCCGGGCGTCGGGGACGGCGTCGGCGAGACCGTGGGCGACACGGACGGGGACGGCGTCGGCGAGACCGTCGGCGCCGGCGTCGGGCCGACGCTCGGCGACGGCGTCGGCGACGGGCGTGGGCGCGGGCGAGGGATCCTTGGTGGCGGTCGGGCCCATCGTCGGCGCGACGGTCGGCGAGACCGTCGGCGCGGGCGAGATGCTCGGGGACGGCGTCGGCGAGACCGTCGGCGTCGTCGACGGCGCGGGCGTGGGCGACACCGAGGGCGACGGGGACGGCGCGGGCGTCGGCATCGTCGACGGGGACGGCGTCGGGGACGTCGTGGGCGACGGCGACGGCGCGGGCGTCGGCATCGTCGAGGGCGCCGGCGTGGGCGACGGCGACGGCGCGGGCGTCGGCGCGGGCGTCGGCACCGTCGAGGGCGCCGGCGACGGCTCCGGCGACGGGACCGGCGACGGCGCGGGCGTCGGGGGCGTCGAGGGCGACGGCGTCGGGGCGGGCGTCGGCGGCACGGACGGCATCGGCGTCGGCGCGGGCGTCGGCGTCGCGGACGGCGCGGGCGTCGGCGGCGTCGAGGGCTGCGGCGATGGCGCCGGGGACGGGGCCGGCGAGGGCGCCGGCGTAGGCACCGTCGAGGGCGACGGCGTCGGCGCGGGCGACGGCGAGACCGTGGGACCGTCGGTGGGCTTGAGCGACGGGGAGACCGTGGGCGCGACCGTGGGCGAGACCGTGGGCGTGGACGTGGGCAGCGACGTCGGGATCGTCGTCGGGAGCATCGTGGGGATGTTCGTGGGGCCGCTCGTGGGCACGGACGTCGGGACGCCCGTGGGCACGGGCGTCGGGATGTTCGTGGGCGAGCTCGTCGGCGTCGACGTCGGGTCGGTCGTCGGGACGGACGTCGGCATGAAGGTCGGCATGAAGGAGATCGTCGGCAGCGGCGTCGGCGCCGACGTCGGCGTGCTCGAGGGCATCGGCGACGGGACGCCCGTCGGCGTGTGGGAGCAGGCGTTGGCGTCGTAGATGTAGCAGCACGTGGACGCGAGGGAATCGAACTCGAAGCCCAGCGCGGCGCCCGTGTAGACGTCGTCGTAGTTCGTCCCGTAGTCGTCGCACGTATTGTGCTGGTAGGCCGCCGAGAAGCTCGTCGCCTCGGCGGCGCCCACGAGGAGGGCCGCGGCCACCACGAGGCGCGCCATTGGACCCTGCAAAGCTTTCACGCTGAGGCGACCTGTGGCGTAGCGGCTACTGCTGGTGCGGCTGTCGAAGCTCCGACCGCAGCAACGGATGGCCAATGCCAGTGGGATGGTTAGCGCCGCAGACGGTGGTTTGCTGGTCGATCGTTAAGATTGTAAGGGAAAGGAGGAGATATTGATGCTGGAAGAGCTTCGTGTTCCCCGGGGTGAGGTCGAACGTGCCGACTCGCTCTCGTACGCGTTCCTTCAGCGTAAATCGGCGTCGCGCCGCCGAGAATTTGATTGTACGTTAGTACGGGCTCGTTCCTTGCGGGCGGCCTGGTTGGGAATGGCGGGAAGGGGGTTGTATCGTGCACCTGGTCGTGTGCGTCGGTGAGGGGAAGTCGCGTTGACAAGCAAAGGAAAGGGATGAAGCGGGGAGTGCCTCTTTGGGGGGATTCGCGCTCGCACCAGCGCTTAGTAGGAGCCTGCTGGCTTGACTCCCGCACCGCCGCCCTTCTTCATCATGAAGAACGCGCCGGCGCCCGCCGCGAGCACAACGACGAGGACCACCACGACGATGATGATGACCACGGCGCCGCCGTCGTCGTCGTCGCTCGACTTGGACCCCACCGGCGTCGCCGGCGTCGGCGCCGGCGAGATCGACGGCGCCGCCGTCGGGTTCGGCGTGGGGAGCGGCGTGTCGACGACGATCGCGACCGTCGAGGCGGAGATGGCCGTCGTCGACGCCGAGACGTCGATCGCCGCGGACGCGAAGCCCGTGCTCGCGTCGCCGCCCGTGGCCGCGGCCTCCGCGGTCAGCGTGCTCGAGAAAGAACCGTCCGACACGGACGTCGAGAGCGCGGTCGTCACGTCCGAGAGGATGTCGTCGCCGGCCGTCACCGCGCCCGTGGAGCCCTCGACGGACGCGTACATGTCGAAGTCGACCGTCGCCGACACCGAGAGCAGACGCCGCCGGCGGCGCACGAGCGTCGCCACGGGCTCGCCGATGCACGTCTCGTAGTCCGCCGCGCCGCCGGGACAGATCTCGTCGGACTGGATGATGCTCGCGATCGTCTTCCGGAAGGCGGTCTTCATGTCCGTCTTGGCGTTGAAGTCGTCCGGGTCGAGGCCGTTCATGACGACGGCCGACGCCACGGTAACCGACGTGTCGTACTCCGTCGGCATGGGCGATGGCTTCGGGGACGGCTTGGCCGTCTCGCCGGGCGGCAGGTTGACCGGGGCCGTCGTTGGCCTCGGCGACGGCGCCGGGATCGGCACGCCCGTCGGCGCCGCCGTAGGGTCCGGCTGCTCCTTGTAGACGCAGTGGCCGTCGTAGGACATGCCGCTGATGTAGAGGCCGTCCGTGTAGGTCTTGGCCGCGAGGTACTCGGACCACGTGAACCCGTCCGAGAGCGTGTTCGTGTCGATGTTCAGCGCGGGCAGGCTGCCGGAGATGTGGCCGTCGGGGTTGTAGTAGAAGTTGCCGTAGTTCTGCGCGTAGCCGTAGTCCATCGTGCACCGGCACGCGGTCGGGCTCGGCGCCGGCGCGGGCGTCGGCGCGGGCGTGGGGGATGCGGACGGCGCAGGCGTGGGCGCCGGAGTCGGCGTCGCGGACGGCGCGGGCGTCGGCACCGTCGAGGGCGATGGCGTCGGGGCGATGGTCGGCGAGGCCGTCGGCTCGGGGGAGCCGGACGGCACGGGCGTCGGGTCGCCCGTCGGCACGCCGGACGGCGCCGGCGACGGCGGCGTCGACGGCTGGGACGTCGGCGTCACCGTCGGCATGCTCGTGGGCACCGACGTCGGCACGCCCGTCGGGGTCTCCGAGGGCGCCGCGGACGGCGGCGTCGTCGGCACGGGCGTCGGCACGGGCGACGGGCACGGCGTCACCTGAA